TATTAGTCTCTTCTGTGATCTCTTTCTTTTCTTTCTTTCTTTTCTTCTTCTTCTTCTTCTTCTTTTTTTTTTTTTTTTTTTTTTTTTGCAGAACCAGGGATTGAACTCAGTCCCTTGAGCTTGCCAGGGAAGCACTTATTCCACTGAGCCATCTCCCCGGCCCTGTGATCTCTTTGAACAGTTTAAGTATGCTTTTTGCGTGCTTGGTCTGGAAATTCCTCTCACGTGCCTGTGAGAGTTAAGAATTCTGGGGACATTCTTAGGGAAGTAAGAAGTTTTGAAGGTATCTGTTGCCTTGTTCTGTCATATTTCTAGTGTTTCAGTTGCAGATCAGTTAGGGTAAGAAGTTCTGTCACTAGTGTGGGGATCGATCTCTTTCCTTATTGGCTGTCATCCTGTGTGTGGCCTTGGCCTTGGCTTGCTTTTATATTCAAGCACTGTTTGCCTGATTCAGTATATTAGCAGGCTCACTCTGCTCTCTGTATCGACCCTTCTCTATGCCATTCCTCTCCGGCCTTCTGCTCCCTGTCAGCCTGCCCACTACACATTCCCCTCCAGCTTTCCTCCTGACTGTACACAGCAGCTTCTACCTGGCCTCTGTCTCTATGGATATATCAGTCAGGGCTCACTAGAGAAGTAGATTAAATGCGAGAGAGCCAAATATATGAAAATTTGCAAAATGGTCTTACAATGGCCCCCCACAGAGTCAGGTATGGAAGAGTGAGAAAGGTCTGTCTATGCAGTGGAAATCCAGAGGATCTGGCTGACTGGACACCATAGTATCTGTGGGCGCGTTTGTCAGGAGGCTGGAGGGTCTCTGGTGGAGGGCCAGAGAGTCTGCACTGGAAGCCAGGAGATGATGTCCAAGGTGAAGGTGAAGACTGGAGCCCCTCCAGAGAGACAGAAGTGAGCCTTCCCTCTTCATTTCCATTTTATACCACCCTGGGGGCAAGCCACTCTAGGGGGTCTTCCACATCCAGAGCCATGCTGAGACAGTTTAGTTGGGTGTTTCTTACTTAAGCTGATCTAACCAGTTAACCTTCGCAGTGGGACAAGTTGAAAACCATCTATATTCTTTATTTGACTTATTGAGCTCTTCATTTCCAGGGTTTGTTGGTTTCCTTCACAATCTTGCCTTGCTAATTTCATGCTCATCTCCCGCGCTCTCTCCCTAATTTTATTTAATGGCTTGTCTGTGATCTCTTGTATTTCCTTGAGCTTTTAAGAATTCCTGTTATTTAGCAGGCACTTCATCCACATTGATTGCTTTGGATTTGTTGCTAGCCTTCTTAGGGTCCTCTGCAGGCTTCGTAGTCCTGTTCTTTCATATTTCTCATGCTCCTATATTGAGTTTTTTCCAACTGATGTTTCCATTATCTCACACCTCTTGGGGGTGACCTGCCTCAGAAGCAACTTATTCTAAAGCTGTTTCATGGGGTGTCATTTTGTTTTGCAGCGTTGGCTCTATTTCTATAGTGTGGTCTTCCTGTGGTTTCTTTGGCTGTGGTCAGTGACTTGGAGTATGATATGTACCCTGGCTGAGTCAGGGAGACCCCTGTGGATCAGATACAATGGGGGTGTTGCATCGGTTCCAGCAGATATGGTGCAGACAACAGGTGCGCAGGGTGCTCCCAGTGCGCCGCTCTTCCAGTGGGACTCACGGCCTCTATTGGCCGATACGGCTTGCTGGGCACTGTTGATGCTAACAGTACTGCTAGCAAGGACCTCTGGCACTAGTGGCCCTGCAGGGCTGAGGGCCCTGACACACTTGTCTCCTAACCAGGCGCAGAACAGAGAGAGGTGGTGGCAGGAATGGCAGCGGAGGGCAGCATGGGGGTGGGGCCCTTGTGGGTAGTGTGGCTGCAGGCCTGCTGACACGCCCTCTGCAGTGGTTTGGCAGGCCTGCAGGCTGGACTGCAGCGGGCACCAGGTGAAGCTCCTTTTGGCCTCTCGGGCTGTGCGCAGTAAGCGCTGTTGTGATGGCAAGAGTCAGGGCTTTTCTCCCCCGGCTGCTTCAATCACGGGACACAGCCAGGGCCAGGACAGTAGCCGGAGCCAGAGCTGTTCAATGCCGTGGCTTGCTGATAAGAATCAAGATTTACAGGGACACAGGGCTTCTAGAAACTGGAAATCGATGGGGAATTGCTTCAGGATCTTGAAGGAATCGCAATGATTCTCAAGGGAGGGCCAGAGCCACCACCCAAGAGGAAGGATGGGCTCAGAAGCATCCCGAGTGCTGAGGATGCATCGTATGTGCCGGGTCCTTGCTATGTTCCAGCCTAATTTGGCCCAAAGAGACCCTGGGTCCTGAGTTAAGGGAGAGGAAACTGAAGTTCAGATGCTTCACCAATGTGGCAGGCACTTACAATCATATTTTGGCAAAACCAGACTGAAATCCCACAAAGCCTATTAGAAAGGTAGCTCATGGAGATTTGTTCAAATGAGCGGGAGTCAGGCTGACACCAACAGAAGCAGACAGGGGGGCCTTCCTGGCACAAAGAGGGCCCTGAGGGAGGGTGTGGCTCTGCTAAGTAAACATGCTTTACCCAAAAGCAAGAGACTGTCCAGAGCCAGAAGGGCATCAGCAAGCTCTGATCTCGGAAAATTTCAAGTATGTGACCAAATTTGATCAAAAGATACCATGAGGGCCAGCCAGATAGCTCAGGGTTAACTAAAGTACTTGCTTAGGCAGGCACAGGGAGTGGGGTTTGATCCCTGCCTGCCATGCCGTTCTCACCCCCTGGGGTGCGTTGAGATGGTGTCTGAGACTTGGTGTTGTGGTGCATGCTTGTAATCCTAGCACTTGGGAGGCTGAAAACAGGAGGATCACTACAAGTCCGATCTGTAGACCCTGTACTAAATATGTAAAATAAATAACAAAATGCATAAAAAATTTAAAAAAGATACTATGAATAATTAAATTAAAAACAGCACAGTAAGAGGCATATTGCCATTTCTCCCCTCAAAACCTTCCTCTGTGCTGCGAACACACTTAGGCCATCATTCCACTTTCTGCAGCAGTTTTGTGAGCATTTTTTTTTTTTTTTTTGAGGAATCAGGGATTGAACTCAGGTCCTTGTGCTTGCCAGGGAAGCGCTTATTCCACTGAGCCATCTCCCGACCCCCTTGTGAGCATCTTTAGTGGCACAGTTGTGGTTGCCACAATGTCCCAGATGGATTCCATATGTTTCCCTTTCAAGGTCATTTTGCTTTTGGGGAAGAGTCAAGTTGGGGGGATAAGGTGGCCTACATTGCTAGGAACAGTGACAGCAGTTACCTTGGGAAGGACATGTGGAGCTGGGGCATGTGCAGGGGGCAGGGGGCTACAGAGTTAGGGACACCCTGCAACTCCTTCAGTGAAATTATTCAGTATACAATCTGTCGCGGCTCACTTGTTTTGCTTTTGCCAAACATATCCGAGACTTCTGCCTCTATCATCTGTATGAGGACTTTATGTTCCGCAGCCCTGCTGGGTTCCTCTGTGCTGGTGAACCAACGTTATGTACGCCACTGGGGAAGGACGTTTGGGTCTCCCGCTAGGGACATTGCTGTACAAGTATCTGGATGGACGTGAGCCCCTCTTCTGTGTGCTGGGAACAAGCCCCAGAACAAACCAACTCCCACACCCAGGCTCATGCCCCATCCTGGGGACACAGAAGTGCATTTCAAGAGGCAGAAGCAGTGTCCCTTCCCCTCTGGACCTTTTTTAAAAAAGTATTTGTTTGGTAGAGGGCCTTTGTACAGCTGTATTTGGTACAGCTCAGCCTCCCCAGTGCTGGGATTACAAGTGTGCATCACCACGCCCAGGTTTGGGGGGGGAGGATGGCACAGCATGCAGTACCAGGGATCAAACCTGGCTTCTTGTACTTGCCAAGCAGGCGCTTAGACTGTGGAGCTATCTCCCCAGGCCCTCCCCTCTGCACCTTTAGCACTAATTTTTCCTCCTACAAGAAGTCCCTGACTTACGAACATTCAAGTTGCAAACTTTCATAGCTGTACTATGAAAGTAAGATTTACTTTGCTAGCGCAGGGGCAGGGGGTTTGATCCCCAGGCCTGCGGTGCTGGCCCTGCCCCCAGAGTGCCCTGAGACAGCAATTGAGACTGGGTGTGGTGGCACACGCCTGTAATCCCAGCTCTTGGGAGGCTGTAAACAGGCAGATCATTATGAGTCCGATCTAGTAGTGAGACCCTGAACACCCTGTAGACCCTACCCTAAAAATATACAAAAAACAAAAACAAAAACAAAAAACAAAAACAAAAAAACAAATTCACTTTGCCACATACAGACCAATCTGACTCATGACCAATTCTTCCAGAATGGAACTTGTTCATAAGTCAGGTCTTCACTGTACTTACTTCCTTTTAGCTACTTTGAAAGCTGCCTGGCATATGTCTCTGAAGTTTTAAGTTGCTTTATGTGAAAAGAAATGAGATTAAGTGTGTTTCAAATGTTTATGGGCTGGGTATTTCAGGCCTGAATCGAGCACTGTGTTAGGTATGCTGACTATTGTGTACATGAGAAAGGGCTCTTTTTGATTGTGGCCTTTTCATAGCCGCTTGTGTCTCAGCTGTCTTCTCCCAGGCCCAAGTTGGCCTCCTCATTCTCCAGAAGTTCTCCTCTGACGGAGACACTCTTTTGAACAAGTCTGATGTGTCACCTTTTAGACTGCAATAGTGGTCTTCCTGTGCTGGTGACCGTTTTTCCTTAAAATCAATAGGAGTGTTTTTAACTAAGAAACCGCAGGAGGAAGACGTTCAGGAAGTTCTTAGGACCCTTGGCAGCCCGAGGCAGGGCAATGAACATGGTTCTCCTGCTCCCCCATCAGTGAGCCACCCGTCTCAGCCCGCCTGGCCTGCTCAGTTCCTCTCTGCCAAGAGATACGCCAGCTGGCCTCCCCCAACACTCATTTCAAGAACAGCCTTGCTGAGCCGTGCTGCCCGGCTGCTTCCCCTCGGCGACGTTCAACCCAGACACGCGGCACAGAAAGGAGACAAGGACCAAGGTCATTCACCAGATATATTTGAAGTCTAAGCTCTTGGAGCTGTACACGTGCACAAATGATTCAGTTGGTGGGGGTCTTCTCCTTCCCTTCCACATGAAAAGCTTTCAAACTTACAATAGTGCCAAGGAGGCTGCATCCCGGAAATGCTGAGGCGATCAATTGTAACTTTCACGATGCAAGGAGGTTCCACTGAGGCACGGCGAGGAGCCCTAGAACCCTAGGAGCCAGCCCTGCTTGGTCTGGGGCAGGTGGATGGATGGGGTTATGTGGCCGTGCAGGTCACTAAGGTGAGCCACCAATGTCACATATGCCACTGGGTTTGCATGATGGAACAGGTTGGTCACTTCAGCTTTTCCTAAGTTGCTGGCCATGTATGCTATGACTGGTTTGAAACAGAAGTCATCTCTAAACACCTTTTCTCATCTGCATCCTGGAAATATGGGACACCTTACAAAGCCAAGGCCCCCAGTGAGTCAGTTCAGCTTCTCTCTGCCTATAGTACTTTGTTCCTCGCAAAAGCTAAGTCCCGCATTTCTCCACCAGGGGGCACTCTTTCTCCTTTATTCAATCTACTCTGTCCACCCAAAGCCTACCATTCACTACAGAAGACTTACTCAACGCTGCAGATTTTATTTTTAAAAGGAATCATTTCTCCCTGCAGAAACTCAGGACCCTCGAAGTAATGCTCTCCTCGGATTCACCCGTACTGCGTGCAGTACTATATTGCTATAGTCACAGTAGAACGGACTTTTAATTTCTGAGCTATCAGAAGCTTTACGTTTCTGATGAAACTCACATACACCTTAATCAAAAACCACACCAATCCTTCCGTCGGTTGGCTGTGTTATTGTTCCTGCCTGTGTGTCTGAGGCGTAGGGAATGAAAGTGCTTTCCCACTCCGGCATCGCCAGCATTTGCATCTAAAGGAAATCCTTCACCGTGCGGAGGGAGCGGAAGGTGAGGATGGTTCTATAGGTGTATCTTCTGTAATGCACTTGGGGCTAGAGAATAGAAAAACCACATGGAACACAAACAATGTTTTCGAGCAGCTGGGCCTGGCACGAGGAAGCTAGGCAGGCGTCTCCCACCTTCACCCGCTTGAATGTGCTCGGCTGCTGCTGCTGCTGCTGCTGCGTCCTGGAGATTCGCTCCATCCAAATTGTCTACCACTGATACATCTTGAATTAAAAACAAGTGGCCTTGATAGCAGAGATATTGGCTAGCCACTCATCTATCGGCATGGGACACTTTTGTGTCCTTTTGAAATTTAGCGTTATCCATAGTGCTGTGTAATAGTATCAGATTATCTGTATTAGCGTATGAACTCATTCATAAGCAATGCACCTATTATGTTTTAAAGCAGCTAATGGTTGAAGAGTTTCTAAATAAAAAACATCCAGATATTAAAAGCACAGCAGAAACATTTGTACAAATATACAAAGAGAGAGAGAGAAAAAAAAAAAAAAACAATCGTTCAGACACGACAAGACTTTTATAATAAACAGGTTTGTCTGAAATTGATCTCTATCAGCCTAGACAAGCCTCCTCAAAGAGGTGGGAAGGTTCTACACGGAGGAGGTGTTGGAGATCCGTGCAGGGACATCTTTGGCCCCAAACTCAGTTTTGCCTCCAGGAATTTTGACAGAGCTGTGAAGTATTGACTCAAGATTGTGACTCTGCCCAGACTTGGTGAGCTGGTCATTGCCGGTAGCTAGGTAATTTTCCTAGGCTAGAGAGGACATGGCCGGATACTAACCATTCGTGAGTTAGAATACCCTCAAATCATGAAAAGAAATGCTGGTGGTCATGCATGTCCTGGGAATGTTGGGATACAGAGGACTGAGTGAGACCAGGTAAGGAAATCTCATGCAGTCAAAGTCAAGTTTACTGATGGTCCTATTGAAGTGACCAGGAAAAAAAACAAAAGAAAAAAGAAAACCAACGTGCACACAATCAGGACAGGGACCAAAACAGCTCACAAACAACACTGGAGCTATTTGTTACTGATGTCTCTGGTTTGAATCAACACGCGAGAATGAAGATGTCGGCTGTGCTCGTTGTTTAATAAGAAAATACTACTTTTGTTTTTCCCCCTAGGACTTTCTAGACGGTGGGTTTTATGTCATGGGTATGATATGATCAGGAGACATATCACCCTTGCCTAGCCCTTTTGTCTGAGAGGCTTGATGTCAAGGAAAGAATCTCAAACAACCAAATACCCAGGGATTTAAAGGCAATTAATGTTTCTGACAAACAATGGGATGGGGTGCATGGTGAAGAGGGGACAGATATTATCGCCAAAAGGCAGAGCGGTTGGCTCAGTTGGACACAGAGGGCGGCAGGCCAGGACGCCGAGTCTGGATGATTTTTGGCTTTGGGGAAGTCTTTGGCTCTTCTTCTTCCTCTATGTCACTGTCACACACGTGCACTACGACACTCGGGGTGGACTCAGTCCCCGCGTGGAGCTCATACTTCTCTCCTGCAAAGCAAGAAGCACAGGGTTGACAAACAGAAGAGGGGGTTTCCAGACAGTCGCTTTGGCAAGGTTGGTTGAGGAAGTGAGACTGGGGTCTGCTAGGGGCTCGGATATCCTGGGGACTCAGCGGGTGGGGCAGGAGGCACAGGATATGGGATGAGGATGACCTGCCCCCAGATCCACAAGGAACAAGGGCTGGTCGTGGTGCAGCAGTGCCCAGACGTAGCATTGTTTCACGAGGCGATTGGCTCAGGAGGGCTCTGATGTCATCCCTGGATTAATCCATCAACAGAACCATAATTCGATGGTGTTACTTGGAGATGATAGAGATTTAGGCAGTGCAGCTGGCTAAAGGGAAAGGCTCATGAATGCATGCTTTTTGGGACTTTCTTTTGTCCCGGTCCCTTCCTCTCTGACCCTTTCCATCTCGCCATGCCACGCCCTTCGGCCATTTTCTTTCTGCACCCTAAAAGTTTGGGGACAGGGACTGTCAGGGTGGAAAAGCACTCGGCATTGTGCAGAGCATGGTCCGCATCGAGTGAATGCAGTCAGCTTGCGCAGTAGTAGAGGTATTTTATTGCTGTGATCCTATTAATGCTGACATTGCATTGTTCTAATTTTGGAAACTTTCTTACTATCAAATCCACTAAAGCCCGACAGCTGCCGAGAGAGAGCCTACAAATGAAAAGAAATGACTTTGGTCTTACAAGACTGAAGTTCTCTTTTTTGGCCCCTTTTTCCCTTTGGGCTTCGGCTAATTCCTTCACCTGAGAACTGACGTTAATGCTGTCACCCTGAAAAGGGCTCAAGTGAGCTTAGCTGGGGACATGGAGACAGCCAGGCCTTATTCCTCAGGGTGGTACAGGTCTTGCCTTGGGGCAGTGACGGTGGGGCCAGCATTCCTTTAAAGGACAATGCTCCTCTGTCACTTGCCGTCTCCTCTGTCTGTATTGAAACTGGAGGCCTAGAGAAAAGCCACCGAAACAGCATGATCAGGGCAAATTCCCAGTGAGTGTGGGAAGAGCCCTCTAGCACTGGCTGGGAAGTCAACTCTCACGCCGGTCTCGGGATGTATTGGGGTGTGGCCACTGCTCCAAAGAGAAACTGAAGCCCCGTGCGGGCGTCCTTGGCTGCTTCCTGCTTCAGGAGCAGAGGACCCTGCTAACCACGGGGCTGGAGGCAGAGTGATGGCCGCGGGCTCCAGGAGACCTTCCTCATGCCCCCTTGGTTTACGAGGGGCTCCTGGCATTGAGAAAGTGATCCGTGTGGTTACAGTTTCTAAAACTCGGCATAATGCAGGGGTGGGGGTGGGGTGCAGGAGCCTGACGCGGCACTGTGCGCGGTGGTGCAGAGTTGTGACTCACTGCGCATAGGCTTAGAGAGAAACTTGTGAGATGGAAGGAAAAGAAACTTCCTGAAGCTGGAATGCCTCCAGGACACGTTCTTTCACTGTTCTGCTAAGGGCACCCCAGAATCCCTGCTGGAGATTTTCTATGCTCAACAAAGCCCAACAGGTGCCAGATGCTGTTGTCCTCAGCGCCAGACCTTTTCCAGGATGGTCCCTGCCCATAGGAGGGGTCCTTAAATACCATTGTCCCCTGTATTCTGCCTGACACACATCTCCACGCCAGTCTCCTACGCTTTCCGGACTCACTTTGTTCTCTTCCCTTCCCTTCCCTTTCTTTTCTTTTCTTTTCTTTTCTTTTCTTTTCTTTTCTTTTCTTTTCTTTTTTTTCTTTTCTCTTTTCTTTTTTCTTTTCTTTCCTTCCTTCCTTCCTTCCTTCCTTCCTTCCTTCCTTCCTTCCTTCCTTCCTTCTTTTGTAGAGTCTCACTATGTAGCACAAGTTTGCCTTGAACTCACACAGATCCTCCTACCGCAGCATCCCAAGTGCCAGGATCACAGGCATGTACCACCACACTCTACCAGACTCATATTCCGAGCAGAATTACAAGGTGTGTGTATGTTTTAAGAAAAAATCTTTAATCTTTATTTATGTATTGGGTCCAGGGTCTCTGCACAGCTAGGACTTATAGTGATCCTCCTGTCTCAGCCTCCCTAGTGCTGGGATTACAGGTGTGCACCACCACGCCCGGTTTTGGTGGCTAACAAAGCAGCACTTGAGCCATCTCCCCAGCCCACAAGGTGTGTGTTCAAATTAAAAAAAAATATGACACAGGGGGCTGGGGAGACAGCTCAGCAGTCTAAGCACCTGCCTGACAAGCGCAGAGGCCCAAGTTTGGTCCCAGTACTGCATGCTGTGCCAGCCCCAGAACCCTGGGGGGTGCCATGCCCGCCCTGAAACTGGGCATGGTGGTACACGCCTGTAATTCCATTGCTGGGGAGGCTGAGACTGGACGATTACTGTAAGTCCGAACTGCGTAGTGAGACCCTGTAAAAATAACAACAAAAACATGTACTACAGTAAAAGACACTGCCAGGAATCCACCCATCACACACACACACACACACACACACACACACACACACACACACTGAACATGCCCATCCCATTGTTCTTGCCACTTTCCAAAGCAGGTCTAGAGTCCTCTATCCTGACTGTCTTTAGTTGCATTGTCATGACTGCCTCAATGACACTGATTCAAAACATCAACCTTTCATGGCCATTTGGGCCTTGGTAAGATCCCGAAATTCTGCGCACTGCGAGATCTGTTAGGTCGGTGGATGAAGACACACCTCATGTTCTGAAGAGGTGCTGTCCTACTGGATGGCACTCGGCAGCAGCATCAGCAGATCACTTGGGGTCTACACTGTCAGGGAAGAGGACCTCCAGAGCTTTGGAAAGCACGGAGCATGATGGGATGAGCACAGTTCACATGAGCAGGAGTTTTTGGAGGGCGTAATGGGAACCCATCTTTGTCTGTAATGCATTTTTTGAAATGTGAACATTTACCATTTTTTTAAATCACTGTCGTACACAGTTGCTTTGTGCTCCACCCTCATCAGGGCAGGCTCCTTCTATGAGAAGCAAGAAGCAGAGACTGCTGGGAAATGTCTTTGTGCAATTGCAGATCGGGTGTCCCTTTGGAGCAGGGCCTGTCATCTTTCCTTTCCTAATGTTAGGGGCCTGACACAGGCAAAAGCTAGGGACACACAGCCCCTAGTGGTCCTACTTAGAGCACTTACTTGGGGGATGATAAAATCTGCTAGTCATCTCTTCCCTTTCTTGTGGATCTTTTCAAATATTCTACCATGTGGACACTTCACCTATGAGTAAGGGAATAACTTACATTGCCACTCTGTGGTGACTGAAGATGCCCTGTGGAATAGATGCTGGATGAAAAGCTCCTTAGAATATTTTCCTGGGGAAAACCCTTAGAAAGGAAATGGGAAAGGAGGAGTCTTCTGCAGCCCCACCACCCTGAGTCCTTCAGGTGGGCAACGGCGCTTAGAGCCTGAGCTAGCAGCAACGATAGATTCCAGTGGCAGCAGATACTTTCCTGTGATCAGAACAGGGCCACGACTGCTGAGCAAGAGCTGGGGCTTAACAGGAGCCACATCCTACATGCACCAAAAATATGGGTGCTCATCTATATTTTTAAAACTGATGTTTCTTTCCACCTCTGAATCAGAGCCTGGAATAGAAAATGTTCCTTCCTTGTAAGTTCCATTAATTAATGAAATGTGTTTTCCATTTGAGGGAAGCAGTGTGTACCAAGCGTAACTCCACAAAATTGCTCACGACAGCGTGTAGGGATGGAGCGGAATTTGGAAAACGATCTAAATATAGCAGACATACACAAACTAGAAACTGGAGCACCATTTTCAACCTTCCCCTGCAGTTAACTAAAATTGATCTCTCTAACAAGAGCTAAAAATAGCAAGAGGGAAACAGAGGAGAGACAATGACTTTTCAGATTGCTCCCCGCAGGCATTTGCAGTGACAACGGGCTTGACCTTCTGGGGCATCAGGCAGTGGAACAAAGCCTGGCACTTTGCAAACAGCCTCCCGCGCAGTGTGGTGCGGCGTGTCAGGGCTGGCATCTCTGCGCTGCTGCCATTTTTGCTGATTGTTGTGGATAAGCTCTTCCATGTGGTATGCTGTTTGAGATTTTTCCTATTTTGTTTCGCATCAAAAAACATGGGGAGAGGGGGAGATCTGGAGAAACGTGTGGAACTTCCATTTCCTGGCAACTATTTCTTAAACATAATTTGGTATCCTCGATACTGCTGGCCTACAGACGAGCCCCAGCAGCATGTTCTACAATAGGGGGGCGGGGATATGGCCAGGGAAGCCAACAGCAAAGAAAGTGCAGAGGGGCAGATGTATAAGCTCTGTATCTTTAAAATTTCCTTTCACAGTTATCTTGAGTTTCTTTGGAGAAGTTATTTTACTCTTCGAGAGGTCTCTTGGTTTCTTACACTTTCTGAATCAGTCCTTTGTGGCCAGGGACAGAGGGATACATTTTAAATGCCCGTGGTGGTGCAGTCTTAGGCAGGTGAATCGAATCACTCTGTTTCTTGCCTTTCCAGCTAAAGAAAGAGCACCCTCAGGATACCTGTTGTCTGAGAGCACTGATATGGATTATAGAGGGAAGGGGTCGAATGCTGCCTGACATATGGTGCACCACAATATAAGTGCAGGCCACTGTTTTTATTTTTCTAATTTATTTTCCTTCCTGGATTAGAAATGAACCATACAGTGATCAGTGCTTGACTGCTGGGATTCGGCTCAGTTTAGCGCATCACCTAATGTGTGTGAGGCCCTGGGTCGAGCCCCAGCACTGTTAAAAGTCAGATAATCTGCCGCTTCTGATTTCTACACTATGGACTAGCTCCCACTGTAATAAACAGAACTGAAGGAAACTTCTCAAATGGGATTGGCCCTTGTCGCCAATTATATCTCCTTAAGGGTTTCCATGGAAACCCACAGTGGGGGTGGGGCTTGTAACTGCACCGTTGTCTCCCTGCTTATTCCAAGCTTCTCTGTAGAAGTTTCTCACCTGACCTCTCCCTCTGTGCTGGAGAGTCCCCAGCATCTGTTTTGGGAAGAGCAGACACACAACTTTACCCCTGAGTGTCAGGGCGAGGCCTGTGTCCCCAGTCTCCCTGAGGTCCGCCCAGCAAGGTCCTGATTCCTCCCCAAGCATGGGGCATGGGGACATAGCAAAGCTCTCACCGCCAGCGGGTTGGCAGAAGGGACCCCAGACAGAGCCCCGCCTGCGCCCCACCCGGGAAGCCGGCTGGCTCCCCGCTGCTCTTTCTGCCAACAGACCTGCCCCCCTACGCACACACTCTGGTCCTCACTCGCAAGAGCTGCTTTTCACCACTGTGGTTCTCATCTATCTGCGCCTGAGCTTCTGGAATGGAAGCAGCTACCCCTTAACACGAAATGAGTTATAATTTGTTACTGAAGTGATTCCGCCAAAGGATTAAGAATGCGTTTCACTAAATCTTTTTTAAAATGGAAATGCGAGAAGTCCCTTCGTTATTGAAAACATTAATTTAGTGCTGTTTGACTCTGTCTGGCTAAAGCCATAGGCAGCAGCAGTTTGCTAGTGAAGGCAGGGACTCTCAGCAGACTAGCAGCTTTTCTGTTCACTTACGGATTCATTTATTCACCTGCTATTTACTGAGCATCCGCTCTGTGCCAGCTGCTATCTGGGGCTAAGAACACGGAAAGGAGTACAGCGTGCTTCTCCCCCTCAGAAAACAGGGGAGGGAGGAAGCTGAACAGGAAATCACGCTGAGGAGGAGTGAGAATCTGAGCAGACCTACAGGACACTTGGGAGGAGCCTCTTGCCCTGGCACCTGGCTGGGGAGACTCAGAGACCTGGGTGGGAGGATTTGGGGTACGGCTCCTGCTCCATCCTAGTTGCAGCTCAAACAGCCCCTGCTGTGGTTTAAGGGTGTCCATTGTTGGAACCTTAATTCCCACGAGGACAGTGCTGGGAGGCACTGAGTTAAACCTTTCATGGCACTGGTCTCATTGGCACAAGGGCAGGCTGTGTTGAAGCAAAGCTGGTGCCCAGGTCCTCTCCCCTGCGTACATGCCAAGCAGAACCAGTGCCCTGCGCTTAGACTACCCAGTATCCAGAACCATGAGCCGTGCTTCCCTCTTTCCCATAAGTGACCCTGGCCACCGAAAATGAACCGTGGCAACCTCCCATGGAACCTCTGTGACATTTGCAATTGCAGTGTTGGCTATGAATCACTTATCTATGTGGCATCAGGAAGCGAGAGGAAACAGCGTTAGACGGCTAACAAGGAGACGGGCAGAGATAGCCCCCAGTGCCTCTGAGTCGCGTCTGTCCACAGACATCATCATCCTTGAAAAGCAGGACGCCCCCACTTCACACTCGCACACAGTAGCGCACATCTCCATCTGCATATGCTGGACACTGGGCCGACTTTCTGGGAGTCTGGGGTGGGGGGTAGAGAAAACTGCCAACCCGCAGAGAGGACAGATGTGCTGCTGGTGTCAGGGCAGAACAGGCCTAAGGCAGCCGCATCTGGCCCGTGAAGAGCCAGTCTCTGGAACCGACCATCACCAGCCAGCTGTGTCACCTTGAGGCCATCCGTCCACATTTCTGCAGCTTAGTCCTTGGACCTGTGGCACAGAGCTAATGAGAGCTTCTGTCTCGGTGCTTGGCATACCTGGGGGAGCCCCGCACAGCAGCTGGACAGCTGCCATGATAAAGGCAGGTGGAGGGCACAGCTGGGAACAGGCTTGAGAGACTCACGACTCATAGGTAGAGAGAAGCACCCCCTTCCTGCCTTTCAGACCCTTTCCTTCTGCCTCCTCCTTCCTCTGTGCCAGGTAGAGCAGAGGGCAGCGGGACTCTGCAAGCCAGAGGGTCTGACTCACCCTGGCCTTCTTTTAAAGATGGTGAGTTGTTAACCGGCTCTTGGAACTCGGTTTCTCACTCCATACAATGCTAATCAATCCATTGCCTGAAGCCCTAGGGATTCCGCTAGGTGTTCTACTTGTTGACAGGCAAAACTGCTCTGCAGAGAGCTCTGCGGTATCCCCCGTTACTATCTGTGTAGGGGAATTGCACTGTTGTCCCAAGGAACTGGGCTCTGATCACTCCACTCGGGGAGACATGGTTGGGTGCTACTGAAGTGGCTTCCCAGGGCTTGGCTTGGGAGAATCCCTGCACATCTACTCCAAACAGGGAGTGCTCCAGCTCAGGCCTCCAGGAGGTCCTTCTTTACAAACTCTACCCTCTTGTTACATCACTTTCTTCCCTGACCAGACTCAGACACCCATAGCTTCTCCAAGTGACTTTTTTCATGGGAGACTCAGGGCCATTTCCAAGGCCCCAGGAGTCAACGACTCACTGGTGACTACAAGGAGACCCCAGGAGTTTGTGCTAGAGGATGCTTGGAATTTAATTTCAGGCCACAAAAGTGACAGCCATCAGTTCTCTCGCAGGGAGGGCTTATGAATCAAAACAGCCTCAGGCTTATCTGAGGAACCAGTTAGGGTCGAAGTACTTCCTGGTTTGCCCGGAAGTCTTCTGGTCTTACTGTTGACCAACCCACTCCCAGGGAACTCTGTCATCCTCGATGAATGGAATAGCATTGTCCACGCAAATCAGCACATGGACCGATGAACTGCTGAGTTTTGATGGGGATCTGCTGCAAATGTTTACCAGGGCCACAACATGAAATACTAGCATAAACTTATTGTGAGTTTATTTTCCCTAGAATCTCACACGAGGCTCCCAGTAGTTCTTAAAAGTGCTGATGCCTCAGCTTTACCTAGTCAGTCAACTTAGAGTCTTGGGGGTAGGCTCAGAGCACTGAAATTATATTTTAAAGCTCCTTTTCTCTTTGGCAGAAATCCCAGTAGACAGAGCCAACTTCTTGCTATTTCATTGGTACCTTGGTTTGTGGGTGCTTTTGTTTGCAAACAATTTGGTTTGCAAATAAAAGCATTTGGCAAAGTTTTGTTTGCAAACTCTACATTGGGTGACAAACATGATCCTGACCATCTCTTCTGTACAAACACAAACATGACCAACTTTCTCAAACCTGTGGAACAAATTCAGTTCATGAACTGAGGTACCGCTGTATTTGTCCTGTGTTCTATGGTCCTGAGGACTTTAGCTGCCCCTGGGTTCAGCACCTCCTCAAACTCACACCCTCTCTCCTCCTGCAGAACATAGGAAAAATAATTCTGAGCACAAAGTGCTACCATTTGCTGAAATTGAAGACAATTATCATTTCTACGTATAAAACCTAAAGAATTATTTGGACAAGTGCAAGAGAATTTTAATTGTTTTGCTGGTGATAGAAAAATCTTAGAAGTGTGGTGGTGTGTTCACCTGCTGGAATACTATATTGCAATGAAAATGACTTTGAAGTACAGATCCCAACAGTGGAACAAAGTGACCTCAGGACTTTTCTAAAATTATAGGCAGATGACCAGTTTCTTGGGGACTTTGTCAGGCAGATTGTCTTGGGGTGGCAGGCTCTTGGGTTTACTCTGATTCTCTGGCAGCAATAGGATAAGGCTGCCCAGCAGAGGAGCCTCCTGCCAGCTGGTCCAGCCCATCCTATTTGTTCTGAGAAGGCAATTTTCTCACAGGACCCAGAAACTCCAGAAAAAATAGGTAGCAGTGTCAGAACTGCAGGCATTAGCACTGAGACCTGGAAGCTGCAGACTGGAGCCATTTAGTACTCTTCCCGCATTACTCTTAAGCAGATGCCAGGTTGGGCGCCAAATCCCCATCCATCCTCTCTGTACCACCCACATGGAGCAGGTGAGTCCACTAGAAATCCAGATCCTTGTCTGGCTGTTCTGGCCACTCACAGCTCACCTGGTCCTAATTTGGCCACAGCGTAGAGGAGGTCATAGTTGAGCACAGGTGTGGCGTCGCTGATGGGCTGCCAGCCCACAGGTGGTGAAGACGGGGGCGAGATGAGGAACTGCTTGGCGGGCTGGGGCGGTGCCAGGTGTAGCTTGTCTCCATCTGTCTCTGAGGTCTGCACCTGCAACAGTCAGGATGCGACACTGGGTCACTGTGGCTTTAGATGTGGCATGCCGGTACTCTGTGAGGGGACCCAGGGACAGGGGAACCAAGGCACCAGTGTGCGGTGGTCCTTACTGCATGGCACACACCATGCCCCGGCTGTCTGGCTTGGTCCTCAGCACAGTGGAGCCCATCAGCATCACCCAGACCACTCCCCAAAGTCCTGATGCTGGAGGCCCGGGAGAAATGCAGCCTTCCTGCATTCCTAACGAGTTATACGTCCACACGTGATGTTGATGGGACTGGGCCACTCTGGCCACAAACTGGCCACATCAATCAGCCTTTCATCCTGTGTGTCTTCCTCTCTCTCTCTCTCTCCTTTTCTCCTTCTCCCTCCTTCCCTGACTTTCTTCTTACTGAGGTAAAACTCACAGGTATGTGCCACCATGCCCTGTTTTGGTTGCTGGCTCAGTGCACCTGGGGGCAGGTCCAGAGTGGCATGTCGTGCTAGGGATTGAACCCCGGTCCTTGCACTTGCCTAAGCGGGAGCTTAGTCTGTTGAGCTATCTCACCGGCCCTGAAATTAACCACTTTAAAGTTGACAGTTCAGTGACATTCCCAAAGCCTGTGTGTCTGTCTGTCTGTCTGTCTGTCTTTCCTTCTTTCTCTTTCTCTCTTTCCTTCTGGCTGGCTCAGCCTGCCCTGGGGACAGGGCTGGCATGGCATATGGTGCTCAGGACAGAACCACAGTCCCTGTGCTTTATCTAAGCTTGCCTAAGCAGGCATTTTAGATCACTGAGCTATCTTGCTGGCCCCCCAAATCTTCCAATTGCCAGTTCCAAACCCTTTTTATCACCCGAAGGACAAGCCTGGACCCCTTATTAAATAGCAGCCACCTTCTGGTCCCCACAAGTCCCTCTGCCCAAGCTGCTTTGTGTCTCTGTGGACTCGCTGATATTTCATACAGATGGTGTAAGAACACGAGACCTTTCGAGGCCTGCTTCTTTCATTTAATGTAAGGCTTATCAGGCTGTCGCATGTGTCCACGTGCATTTTCTTTTCATAGCTGTGTGGAGCACGGGCACACTACAATTTGCCAATCTTTTGGTGGACATTCCAGGTTTTCAGCTTTTGTCCAGGGGAAGTGGTGCGGCTGTGAACACACAGATGTCATGACTACCCTGCCATGGTTACTTCCCCGCTTGGTGGCCACTGGAGGACAAGCGCGGGCTCACTGGGGCTGGTGTTTTTGATCTCTGATTTTCTTTTCTTTCTTTCTTTTTTTTTTTTTTTTTGTATTTTAGGAAAGGGTCTACAGGGTGTTCAGGGTCTCACTACTAGATCAGACTCGTAGTGATCCACTTGTTTACAGCCTCCCAAGAGCTGGGATTACAGGTGCGCACCACCACACCCAGTCTCAATTGCCATCTCAGCGCACTCCAGGGGCAGGACCAGCACAGCAGGCATAGGGATCAAACCCCCAGTCCCTGCACCTGCTTGCAGCTGCTTTAATCTGCTGAGCTGTTTGGCTTGTCCTTGATCTCTACTAGATTTCAAGGGTGATTATTTTTTAGTCTTATTTTGTGGGAACAGGATATTATATTCTCTATCTCTGTGTGTAAAGATATTATGTATGCATGTGTATTAATTTTGCACATATGTATGCATGTATGCATGTATGTGTTTTCAACACCTAGGAGTGGAATTTCTGAAAAAGAAAAAAGTGTGGCAAAATTACTTTGGGGAAAGAATTTCCTTACCTGGGCAAAATATAGTTTTAACTTCTTCCCTCTGAACTGGGTTTCGTGCAGCTCTATCCTGGCGCGGGCTGCAGGCTTAGGGCTGCTGAAGTTTATCCGGACTCGTCGGAAGCTCTTAAACAGCTGGAATGTCACACAGTCATCGTAAGTCCGGAACAGCCCTTCAAATTTTTCCTGATAAATCAAACACAGGATAAGTCCATTGGCCACGCATATCACACGATGCCAAATCTTACAAAAATAAGTAAAGCAGGCAGGCTGTGAGGTAAAGTTAAAATAAATCACCAGTCCCATACTTTATCCTTCAGCTGGTCCAAGGTCGGCGCTAGAATGCAGGTTGAAATTTGCAACCTGCACTTGACCTTAGCCAAAAGGCTGAGAAGCTGTGGAATCTGCATCCTGGACGGAGAGGCCTAGAGAAGACTAGCGACTAGGGCTCAGCGTGCATAAACAGCTTGAAAATTGTGCAAAACTCTTTCCATATGTGTGGGTATGCATGGTGAGGAGAGGGATTGTAGCTGCCATCAGAGTCTCGAAGGAGCCTATTATCTCAGAAATATTGATGTGCATGGTGAAAGCATCCTCCACGATTACTCGTCTTGGGACATTTTCTTGGCAAAAGGTATGGGATGTCCACACCACCCCAACCCTTTTAGAGCTATGTGGTTAGCGTTGCTCAACAAATGTATGACCAAGTCAGCAACAAGCCCTTGAGTGACATTGCAGTGCCTTCCTCTAAAAAAAGCCTCCTGTTCCAAGTGAGGGAACTGAGCCTTGCCTGGGGCACGCTTGTCCCAGTGGGATCCTCCTCAGCCTGGGCCGCTAAGCAGCTCCGTGGAGTGGAAACAGCCTTTTCCTACTTCTTCCCTTTCCCCACAGCACAAATTTGGTCTTGGCAAGGGAGAGGGCCCTCAACTGCATTCAAATACTGAGATTTGGTGATTATTTTACTTCTGCAGCATAGCCAAGCCTTTCAGAATACAAAGCAGTAATTGAAACATTTTGATTCAATGCACTCACTTCAATTCAACTGAAAAAAAAAAAAACCCAAACAACTATTTATTAAATGTTCACTTGGAACAAGGTTTGGTCCCTTTCTGTACTCCAAGGGGTCACAGAGACACAGACCGTATGTTCTGGTCTTTAGCAACCTAATACTTTTACATAAGAGACAGACATGCAAGAAGACTGGGCAAGCATAAGAAGAGAATCTGGGAAGCAAAAAAACATGTATTTAACACCTCTCTGGTTACTTTTATCCTCTAAATAATTCCTATTATAAGTAAGAAGATCAGTAGATATTAAGCTACTGTGTGTTCTTTATGTAGAAATTGACACTAAGGAAATAACTTCTCTTTGAAAGAAAA